GAAGTCCCAAATTGCAACGATTTTAATTATTGGGGACTAAATTGAAACCAAAAATTAAAGTGGGACTAAATTAAAAATATTAAATAATGTAAGGGACGAAAAGAGGTTTTTAACCAAAAAATTAAAATTCTTTAATATAATTAAATTGAAAGTGGGTATTAAATTAAAAACGGGTACGGGTACGGGTAGGGATGGAAATGGGGCCTCATGGGGGCGGGTAATAGTAAACTCGACCCCGCCCCACCGGATAAAAATTGGCCCCATACCCACCCCATATCCGCGCGGGTATCCATTAAGCGGGTATCCATGAATTTCTTAAATACCCACGGATATCCATGGATATTTATAAATCTTTTAAGAAATTAAAAAGATTATATTATAAATAATTTTAAGTTTATATCTAATGTCATTAAAATATTAAAAATAAAAATTCAGTGTTAATTTTGAACTTGTATTTAACGTTAATTTTGTTAAAATAATAATAAAAATGCAAGATAATTAATAACTTAAAATACATCAATCTCACAAGTTAAAGTCTCATCATAAAGCTACAATAATTCAATCTCATAATTCTAAACGAAAGTAAATAACTTAAAATACATAAATCTTATTGGTCCAATCAAAGCTAGAAAATTAATCAAATTACATCCAACATAATTCTATAACATGCTTAACACATGTTAATAACTTCATCAACCTCACTTTTGTAAGAAAATAAGATGAGAGAGTATAGTTTTAGGTTTATGTGGTACAAGGATAATTAAGATATTTAAAAAATATTATTAAACGGGTATCCGCGAGTATTGATATCATCATACCCGCCCCCGCCCCGTTTATAAACGGATAAAAAATTATTCGTCCCCATTATCTGCGGGTACCCAATTAGCCTATTCATTTATTATCCGTAGCGGGTTTTACTCACAGATACCCACGGGTGCGGGTATTTTTTCCATCCCTAGGTACAGGTAAGGGACGGGTAAGTACATACCCGTACCCGTACCTGATTTAATTTATCGGGTTTTACCCGTACCCGTACCCGATCAAAACAGGTATTTCTCGTCAAAATCGGGACGGGTTTGGGTATTACTGCGGGTACGGGTATATTTGTCATCCCTAATGCTACCTTATGACAAAAACCTTGTTTCACACTAGGGATGACAATGGGGCCCATGGGGCGGGTAATAGTAAACTTGTCCTCATCCCGCTGGATGAAAATTGGCCACATATCGGCCCCATACTCGCGCGAGTATCTGTTAAGCGGGTATCCATGAATTTCTTGAATATCCATAGATATTTATAAATTTTTTAAGAAATTAAAAAAATTATATTACAAATAATTTTAAGTTTATATTTAATGTCATTGAAATATTAAAAATAAAAATTTAATGTTAATTTTGAACTTGTAATTAACATTAATTTTGTTGAAATAATAAATAAATAAATAAAGATAATCAATAACTTAAAATACATTAGTAAGTGAAATTCTCATGTCACAAAGTTACAATAATTCAATCTCATAATGTTTGATGACTAATGTTTTGGTTGTGTTGCTATGGAAAAAAAATAAGATGAGAGAATGTAGTTTTAGGATTATGTGGTACAAGGATAATTAGGATATTTAAGAAATGTTATTAAACAGGTACCCGCGGGTATGGATACCATCATACCCGCCCCGCCCCGTTTATAAATGGGTAAAAAATTATTCATCCTCATTATTCACGGATACCTAATTAGCCTACCCATTTATTATCTGTAGCAGATTTTACCCATATAGATACCTGCGGGTGCAAGTATTTTTGTCATCCTTATTTCACACAAAGAAATAGCACACTAAAAACACACTAGAGAGAAAATTAGAAGACAAACTAGAAAAGCACAATTAAAAATAAGCTTAACTCAAATGGAATGAGATATGACAAAACTAGGAAGAATAATAAAGAATTAGACAAACAAAAATTAAAGCACAATTTGGAAATTAGGACAACAAAGGAGTAATCCTATGATAGGTTCTAAATTAATTTGGACCACAAAAATAATGAAGACTCAAATATACTTCCAAATTAAAAGCAAATTAAAATGAAATGAAATGTGACATGTATTTTTATATGAATTTCACAAAATGCTCCACATATTTTTTTATATAAAAAAATCACAAAATATTGTAATTCCTTTTTGTTAATGTACAAGTGGACTTCCAAGCACAGGCCAAGGCAAAGTGTTCTTGGCCCATCCAAACCCAATAAGTCCAAAATGACCTCTACTAGTTACATCCATCCTAAGCTATTATTTACACCCCTAAAATAAAACAAATACAAGAACAATAATTCTTGTATTAATTAATCAAAATACAAGGTCAAAAATAAAGGAAAAACGTTTAAAAGAAAAAATATACACAAAAGAGAATGGACTAAGTAACAAACCTATAACTTAATAAGAGCTTAGACTTTCTACTTTCATCTCAAATCCATTTTTTTTTTTTTTATCCTCCTTGACATTCTCCTTGTAAAAGGTCTTGTTCTAGACAATATATCATCATCCTCGGATTTGTTATCAAATTTGTAGGCTCTTCTTCTATATCATTACCTATAACTCAATAAGAGCTTAAACCTTTTATTTTAACCTAGAGTCCTTTTTTCTTGTATCCTCCTTGATATTGTCCTTGTAATAGGTCATGTTTTAAACAATATGTTGTTATTTTTGAATTAAATATTAATATTTAAAATAAATTATCAACAATTAAAAATGATTTTTTCTTATAAAAAAATTATTTATTAAACAAATTTAAAATATATTTTATATATTTAAAAATATTTATATATATTAATTTTAAATTAATTTATATATTCAAACATAATATTTATTATAAATTTTAATTATATATAATAAACATGTTTATTCGTTGCACATGCTAAAATATAAATTATCAATAAATTTTTTTTACAATATAAGTTATTTATCATAAATCTAAAATATAATTTATGTTTAAAAGTATCTATTATACAAAATTTAAATATAATTTTTATATTATTATATGTATCCATGTGGAATAGGGGATGTCATATATTATCTTATTCGATTTTTACTTATCATAATTATTTATAAATTAAATATTAATACTTTAAAATAAATTATTAATAATTAAAAATAAAGTTCTTGTCACAATATAAATTATTTATCATAAATTTAAAATATAATTTATATATTTAAAAATATTTATGTATACTAATTTCAAAAAAATAATGTATATATTTAAGTATTTATTTATGTATAATTTATTATAAATTTTAATTATGTATAATAAATATATTTGTTCATTACACATGCTAAAATATAAGATCAATAAAAAATTATTACAATATAAATTATTTATCAAAAATTTAAAATATAATTTATGTTTAAAAGTATCTATTTATACAAAATTTAAATATAATTTGTACATTCAAAATATACTTATTTATATACATATAGTGCAGCTACTGCAACTGATGCTGGTGCAGCAGCTGTTTCTGTCTCAAATGCTGGTGCAGCAGCTGGGGGGAAGTGCACATGCGGCTGATAATGAATTAATTCAAAAGAAGAAGCAGTTGGCTGGTGGCTTGGCTGATGCAACTGTCTCAGCCACTGAACTGGTGCAGCTGGTGCTGGCTCTCATGTAATCGGACTGACTCCACCGAATGATGTAGTTTCTGCACCTGCACCGTTTGCAGTAGATGCTGCACCGCTTGAAGCACCTGTGGCTGCAGCACATGATTTACAAGTGATCTAGGTAAAGGAAACCTTGCTAACTAACAAACTGTCTCACGAACATGCAGCACAAGGTGCTGATTCAGCTGCTGTCATGGACGCAAATTCTGCTGCAGTAGCTGATGCACCTCAAACAATTGCATCTGCTGATCTAGCTACAGCTCTGGACAATCAACATGCTGATAATTCTCTTAAAGGCATGCCCCCTTTGAAAGACCTCTCAAGTGATCAAAACCAGCTCAGCTTGGACAAATATCATAGCTCAAGTGTTGCGGCTAATGATGTAGCTCGTGCAGTTAATGTGACAGCAAAAATTCATATTCCAGCCACTAGTACAAGCCATAAGAAATGGGACTTTGCTGTAATAGTGGATGCTGCCTCCAAGTCTGAAGCAAAACAGGTGGATCTTTTCCCTCATGTACCTAAGACTAAGCCAAGGGTCCCGAGTCCTCGCACAGCATAGTCGGATAACCTTCTCAATGCAGTAGCTGATTTTTATCTCAATGATTTAGCTGATTTTCCTCCAGAAGTTCAGGCAGATTTGGCTATCTTTGAAGCAAGTGGATATGACTGGGAGAAAGGGTGCCATGATCCGCTTAAGCTCCAAGCCATGATCCAGACCTCTGAGCCTAAAAAACCAGCACCAGATAGGCCTAGAACTAGATCACGAAGAGCCAAGTTATCCAAATTTTCTTGATTTATGTCCAAACGAAAATTAGTACCAAATTGTGGGTAGTAATCTGGACTCTATGATTTGGTATTGGTCCTCCGCTTGTATTTTTACTTTCTTTTATATTTCAGTTCATATTGATATGCTACAAATGATTGGTGTAGATTGAGGTGTTAACCTAGTTAAGATCTCTCCTTCACATAATAATGTCTTAACATATCTATTTTTTTTTAAAAAAATATACATATTTTATTTTAAATTTTAATTATATATAATAAATATTAATTAATTTATACATTACACAACTTAAAATACTAGTTTAAAATACTAGTTTATAATAGAAATTGAATTTATGTCAAAACTAATTAAAAGTAACTATATTAATTATTTTTCTTAATTTTAATTATATTTCTTTTGTTATTTATAATTAGAAATAAATATAGTAATAAATATCTAAAAAAGAAAAAAGTAACATAATTACACGTGGGACCACAATAATTTCATGACGCTTCGTTCTTTTCTTTTTTTCTTTCCAAACAATTAAATATGGATGAACAATAACTATTCTCTGCACCAATTTTTTTATTCACCTCACCAACACCTAACACGGGATATGAATATTTGATTTTTTAAAAAATTCATTTAAAAAGAAAGAGCGGAAGTTCCTTGGAGGCAGGGCCCTAAACGACGGCGTTTAGAAAGAAAATTCCTTTCGTGGTGGTGGAGGCACATTAAATGGTAATAAAATGTGCAGTTTATGACGTTAAGAAATGCGGTTTGTTGTCTGGGCGCAGAGTGTGGAAAATGAAATGGGATATGCAGATGGAAGAAATCGAAGCGATTCTGGAAAAGATTTGGGACATTCACGACAAGCTCAGCGACGCTATTCACTCCATTTCCAGATCCCACTTCCTCACTTCCGTCAAAACCCTCAAAAACTCTTCCAACGCTTCTAACCGCGCCGGTTTCGTCTTCGTCAAGGACTTCGCACCCCCCGCCGCACCCGCCGCCGCCTCCTCCGCCGGTGACGACGACGACGACGACGCCCTTCGCGAGGCCAAGAGCCTCAACGCGATACGCACCGCTCTCGAGAACCTCGAGGACCAGCTCGAGTTCTTCCACGTGAGTTTTCTCTTTTATGAAATTTTTGCTCTCGTTTTCCCTGCGGTTTGAGGCTGCTTATGCGTGAGACTGGTTTAATTGAACGCTTGTTGGTGAAATTGGATGTTAATTCGTGTCTGTCATTTTGCTTCCCGCGTTTTGTGGCGCGAAAATTGGAGATTGTTCACGATTTGGTATGTGCGACTCTTTTGTGGAATGTAAGATTCGGTTTGTGTTCTCTGAGGCACAAGAAGCGCAGATGGGCAAAACCGTGTGTGATTATTGATTTATTTGTTTCTGGTGTGATACATTCGGTTTATAGAAGCCACTTTGGACCTTGATATGGAGTATTGAGGGTTATGTTTGGGTAAATTTCTCTTTATAGGGGAAGAAAATAAGAAGAAAAATGAAATTAGTTTCTCCAAAAGCTAAAATTAGCTCAAGTATTGTAGAAGTTTTCTTAGACTATTAGTTTCTAAAAAGGAAAATAAATAACTTACACATAAGTTAATTTTAGCTTATAGAGAAGTTAATTTCAATTTTTCTTCTCTTATAAGTGTTTTTGAAGAAGTTTATTCAAATAGACCCTTATTCAGGTAAAGATGGTGGGTGCCTTGTTTTCTCTATTCACAAAACTCAATGTAAAGGGAACCGAGTTCTTTAGTGTTTGTTAGTTAGGAGATAAATGTTGGTTTTCGGATGTGTTTGTGTTTTTGACCTTTTTAATTTTGAAAATATGCACCAATGGTTGTTGGTTAAATAACATTCATTGTATAGGGGATTAGTTAGTTTTATTATATTATGCTGTATCTTTTTAAAAAGTGAAGCCTGCTTTAAATTGTCTGACAGCTTTAATTTGGAACACGCTGTTTGTGTATTATTGTACATTTATTGTGTCAGTTTAGTTGGGAGTTGGACATGATGACTCCTGAGCATGCCAGTAAATATGTGGTCTGAGGAAACAAAAGGTAGAAGCATGTTAAGAAACAGTTTTGATCAATGAGGTTCCATTGAATCGATGAAAAGTAAAGTAACAATAGAAGTTATGTCCTGGATTTGAGTCTTTTAATGAATTTGTTTATGGACATTTTGTTTTCCAGAGTGCAATGATATTGTTTATGCCAATGGTTCTGAAAAATCTCTTCATTCTGAGTGGAAATCATTCTTAAATAGACTGGCAGTCACTTCATTTTGTTTCATCAAAGAAAGATAACTCAAAGGTCATGCTTTCATTCAAGTGCTGACCTTGTTCCAGATTGGGTGATTTGGAAATCTGTTAGATCTATTGTCATGGTTCCCCAATCCTAACCATCCACTTTGGGGTTTCATCTGTTACTTGCCTCTTCCTGATTTCATGCTTTCTTTCTGTTAATGTTTACTATCAATCTTTCTTTTGGCTCGTGACTTTTCTTTACCAGGCCCTTTCTTTTGTCCTTTCTTGCACTTTAAGTTTATCCAAGTGTTACAAAATAACATAAAGTGGAATTTGAAAATCTTTTCCAATGGGTCAAATGTGCTGCTAAAACATAAAATAATGTCACATAGTGGTTTTGATTTTCATTTGTGTGTGCATGTGTTCTATTTTTTTTCTTTCTTTTAATCTTTGGTTTTGTTGCATCTTCATTTTCTCTACAATCTAATGAGTTCTGGAAAAATAAAACATTTTCATGGTGAAAAATGCTCATTAATTTGTTGGGTGGTGATTTTCAGCTGGTTGTAATCTTGGAGGGTCTTAAGGCAAGATGGAGTCTGCCTTGTTTATTATCGTAATCATAAATTAGATGTTGTAATATAGTTAAGGTTAGTTGCTGTATGATCTTATTGCTTGCACTAAGCGTTACCATAGTATGTTTTAATAATCATCTTAAATATCAGCACTTGACTGATGTTAATGTATTGAAGTTGAATAATGGACCTTGTATGATCTATGTCATATCATACTTGTCAGAAATGACACTGTTGGATTAAGTCCTAAGTTCAGATCCAATGGTACATTACACAAATTTATGAGTTATCAGGATGCATGCAACAATCTTCCTTGTTATGAATTCATAGTATCAAGTTGTTGGTTCTGTGGTATTCAACAAATCCATTCAGGATAATAGGGAAAATAAGTTTGTTGTCTGATAAGATGAAGTAGGGTATATTAATAAGTGATAGGTAAATGCCAAATGTTGCAAATCACAAATGATCCTATTTCTAATACTAATATAGGTTTAATGAACAAGCTTAGCCCAATAAGACAACTAACACCGCATAACACTTAAATAACTAATATTCTTACACTTACCATCAAGCTGAATTTTCTCTTGGCTTGTTACAAATGAACATCTCTGAAGCAAATAACCTAATAATAATGTAGGCTACATAAACCATAGCTGGACATACAACTATGAAAAATTAGGCATTTTGAAAGCATCATATGATATCAACATTATTGGAAAAATTTAAGATAACACGGTCAGAAGATGGATTAAAGGGCTAACAGTCATACCCAATTTCCAAAGGAGCTAGTTAGGGTGTTGTTTAGTGTAGCCAAGGGTGAACTGTGAAAGACACACTAGGAATGACAATCAGAAAAAAATTATCAATCATCCACGAGGCCCAAACCTCTAACTATGTGTTTGCTGTTTCTGTGTGTATGGCACACAGCTATTCCCAAAGGAGCTAGTAGGATGTTCTGTAGTGTAGTCAAGGTGGAACTGTGAAAGACACTGTAGGAACGGCCATTGGAAAAAAATTCTCATGCAATCATCCAAAAGACCCAAACCTCTAATCATATATGTGTTTGTGTGTACATGTGTCTGTGTAGGTATGCCTATGCATGCACAATGAACACCATGGTAGTTAGTATCACGTGAATAGAGATAAGATTCAAACAGTTTGATATGAGTCAATGCGCAAACAATGTGAATTATGTGTATCATTTCTGTGTATGAATCGCACCCAAAGTGGGTCGGGTCATGTGCGACCCAGTTTTTAAACCATAAAAGATCCTTTCTTTTTCTCAAAAAGTTATGTAAAATGGGAGGGAACCAGCCAATATTCTCTCCCCTAAGAGACTCGTGCTGTCCTCCTCATTAGAAACAGATTTCCACCGGTCTCCTTAGTTTCTTTTCTCCTCTGTTTATGCCTGCATCTGAGTGGTGGTCCCATTTGTGTGCTTCTGGTTGACCATTTGTGGTCGTCCCCTGTTTTTCTGTTGGTGGTTGGTGGACCCTGTTTGTGCTGCTTGTTGGTGTTTTCTGTTGGTTGTATGCTGCTTGGTGGTCCCTGTTTTTGGCCTTGTGGCTGTTATTATTTATATCTTTGTTTGTCCTGAAGCTTATATGCTACTATATATATATATTATATATTTTCATTTTTCAAGTTTAGCATCAATTTTGAATTTAGGAAACCTGAATCTTTTGAGAACTTGTCGCGAATATATAAAGCTGAATTCAGCTGGAACATGACCCAATAGGCTCAAAAAGCAGCCTGTGGCTGTAAGGGAAGTATGGAACTTAATCAAACAAAGATGAGCATCCAAATAGATGGAAGCAGAACTGAAATGCTGCAAATCACGTTGAAAGCACCTAACAGATTTAATCTAGCTGTAGCCAAAATACACTGTATCCCATTTAAATTAAGAACAAAACTCAAACTGTAGTAGGAGCAAGCATCCCACAGACAGGAGTAAAATAAAACATGGTGGAACCAGAGAATGAAAATCGGGATCTAGCGGACAAAGGGAGGTGTTTTGGCTAGGGTCGTCATTTGTGAGTCTAGAGATGTGTGCTTTTGGGGTGGGGTCTTGGTAATTATGTTTCACCTCTTAAGCTAATAGGTGCTATTTGGACATGATAGCAATTTGCCTTTTTCTGAAAAAGGGACTAGAAAATGGCGGAATGTGGGAAGACTATCTGACAATGAAACTGGCAAGATTTTGGTGAGAAAATGGATTATTTTGGCCTGGTATTTGTCCAGATTTGGGAAGGTCAAGTTGGGATGATGTCGGCAAAACGCCCTGGCATAAACTCCTGACATAACAAGCATGGCATGACTTGAACCACTTGAATAATGGACCCTACCCTAATATGCAGCCCTCATATTCATAAAGGTTGACCCAAGTGTGGGACATATTAATAAAAGGAAATCATTGTTCCATGGATAGGCAGGTTTATAACAGGGATAAGATTAACTTAATTAAAACTTGAAAGGATTATGGTTTGGTTAATGGGCAGAAATTTAATGCATAATATGAACCAACAATATATGAACACGCCATAGGCATTGTCTTTCCTTGGTTTCTTCAGAAACTTCAGAAGTTTTATTAGTCAGTTAATTGCAAACTTACTTTTCTTGCTAGCATTTTTTGTTGTGCCTTATGTTGCATGACATTTTAATGGAAGTCGGTTCTAATTTGAAACTTCATTTTGTATGGCTGTAGACTATTCAAACCCAGCAACGAGTTGAGAGAGATGCTGCAATCGCACGTTTAGAACAGAGCAGAATTGTTCTTGCAATGAGACTGGCAGAACACCGTGGTAAAAAATATAAAGTCATTGAAGAAGCTCTTGCTTTTGTTGGAGATGTACATGTTGCACCTGATATTCTTTATGGACAACCAAACTGTTCTAAGAATTTTGTGACTGACAAAGCAAAGGGATCTAATATTCTTATCAATATTTTTGTCTCAAGTTTCAATTTTGTGAAGAAAACCCTTGGATTGGATCATATGGGTGGAATAGTGGGCAATGCTGCTTTGGTTGCAGTTAGCATGATAGCTTTGCTTCATTTACATCAGGTAACTAATCATGAGCAGCCATATGGGCAAGAATATAGAGTTCAGAGCGACAGAACTGTGAGAAGAACAGAATTGGTCGGTTCTTCGTCTGATGCCCATTCCAGTAATTTGGATGTATTGTTGGCTAGAGGTTAGGATTAAACTTCTATCCCAATGATGAAATGATGAGTGGCTTGTGTTTTCAGAGTGTTTTTTTCCTTTTCCTTTTTTGTGCTCTTGTTCTTTTTTTTTCCTTGGTTACAAAAGAGGCATGAGTCTTGGTGTTGTGAGGGGAGGAGGCAAAGCATGGTGTCACTTGAGCCAAGGCTCTTGGGCGTCTTCTTGGTTTTTGTTGCCACAGAAAGTTTTAAAAGTGGCATTATAGTTTATCTTACAAGGGCAAGAGAAAGGCTGTGTTTGCTGGATTCCTTGTTGAGTTGCAGATTCTCGAAGTATTACAGTTAGTTGGAAATCAACACAAATGTTTCTTTTTTCTGCTAGATAGTGTCATCTGTGGTAGAATCCTGCGTCAATTTTGTCAATTTTAGTTGATGGAATGTGAATGCCTTCTACCTTCTCTTTTCTTGTTACAATCAATTCTGTGAATACGTTTATGTTGCAATGAAGGGTGTTTACCTCAAAGAAATTGATTATGTGGTACTGTTGGTAGTTACTTGGCTTTGGATTTCCCCCACTTATCCAACATGCTTTCTCCAGTTTTCATATACTATACGGAAGTGTTGATACAGTAGCAATTCCAATTGCTGTATATACCCGTGAATAACTACGAGGTAACTTACGGAGATTGTGATTGGACTTTGAATCGAACCTTAAAAATGAGTTTTTATTATAATTATCTTGTTTAGTATGACATTGCAATTGAAATTTCAAGTTCGATTACATGGAATTTAAAATTAAGGAGTTTGTGTTAAATTGTATTCTTAGTGTAGGCCTTAAGATATAAATCAGAAAGAATATTTTACTTTTTTGTTTATCTTCGTGCTTTATGTAATCATTATTGTCGGCATAATCCAACATTCGTTATCATTAGCCACACGTACCATCATTAACTACTATTGTCGTGTGACTGTTGTTACCACTTATCGGTCACAGAATTCTAATTTGACTTAGAATTATGAATTTATATTTTCATTTTTATTTATTCCAAATACATAAAATTAGAATCTATATTATAATTTCATTAGCGACAATAGTATTATATATAACTAATAGAATTATGCCTAGGGCCTTTATTTTTTATTTTTTAAAATTATTAGTATTTCAATCTGTACAATGCATAGACTACATGTTTATTATATATAACTAAAATTTAAAATAAATTATGTATAAAATTATTTGAATATATAAATTATATTTAAAATTTAAATAAATATTTTAAATATATAAATTATATTTTAAATTTATGTTAAATAATTTATATCATAGAATAATATTATTTTATTTACTGATAGTTTATTTTAAAAATTAAAAATTAATTCACTAATAATTACAAAAAATAATAATTAAATTAAATATTAAATTAAAAGAATCTTTCAAAATTCTCTCATAAAAAAATCTCCTAAAACTTCTTACACAAGATAGACAAATTCGTTCATGTTTTATATGCAGAAGTTGATCTTCGTTGGGTTGGGATCAATAAGAGATATAACTCGGAATACAGATTTCAAATTAAAGTAGACAAATTTTATTGGGCTAATACAACCGAGACAGATACCTTAGCCCATCGACTATTCGGAATGACTATAGACCGTTGCTATCTTTAAACCCAACTTCAAGAGGGGATTTTATTATTATGCATTCCTTTTTCCTCTTCATACTTTTTTTACCTTTTATATTCTAATAATATTCTTTACATTTATTTATTTCTATCATTTTAGAAATTAAATTTCAAAGTATCTGAAATTATATAAAAATGCTCTTTTAGAATTTAATATTTGGAATTCAGTTTTCTACTTTTTGAAAACTTACCTTTGGAACACGCTTTGAATAATTGGAAATAAGTTTCCAAAACAATATTATATATATATAACACATTACTATTATACTTAATGCATGGATCAATAATGAGTGACCTTTTATAAACACATTCTTAAAATGGGATCTAATTAAACACTATAAAATTAATTTGTAAGATAATAATTTATTTTATTTATTTCATAACAGTTTGGACACATTGTTCAAGAATTTATACATATATGAGATTGTATAGTTGAAAATAATTTAAATTAATTAATTTATATTATTTATATTAACAAGATACATATATTTTCCAATAATTCATCACAAAAAAAATTCCGTTAAACATGTTTAACTTAAAGAAATCTAGGAAGTTTCTCAAGTGTTTGAGTGAAGCCAAAACACACTAAAATGTCTTATGTTAGTTTGTAGGGATTACCCACAAAGGGTTTTGATCGATGAAAGGTTCTAACCAACAAAGAAATATTGTATAAAATGTCATTCTGTAATGTGTAGTAAAATAAAACTATCGAAACATCTAATCTATAAGGTGTTACACACACACACATATATATATATTGATCTTATCTCTAATTAATTTGAGATTTAAGTTTTACCAATAATAATAATGATGACAAAGGAAATCATACAAGAACGAATGGATGAACTAATGGAAGCACAACTTGAAACTTGTATTTTCAAAATGTATTAAGCTTTTAATTTTTTCAAAAATCAACTTTTTTAATATATTAAATTTTTAATAAAATTCATTTTAAAAACTAAATTTGAAACATCAACAGATAATCTAAAATTACATTCTAAAAATTGATTTTCAGCGGAAATATATTTTAGAAAAAATACGAAAATTTAAAGAAGTTACAATAATAATAAAAAAAAAAGTGGAAATAGAATCCCTCTTCAAGTGCTATAAAGGTGGAAATAAATAGAGAGCTGTCACTTCCCTTTTGTCCAAAAGTGACGCTGTTCTAAAAATTTAAAATCCAACAAATTCCTATAAAAATGATAGCAACATTATGTTTCTAATTACTCTTGTTATTATCACTCATCAAAAAGTACCATTATTTGAGGAGTTTTTTCTTTAATCACAAATGTTATGAATCCTATCCTTATTAAATACGTCTCTCTTAATTAAGTAATAGAAGTCATCAAAGTTTGTAGTTTTTAATTAATAGTATATAAGAATGTACTAGAGAGAGTGTAGCCAGATTTTTCATTCTGCCCATTGTCAACCTTTAGCTTCAATTCCTGACATGACTGGAGACACAACACGAACCATCATCATTAGAAACAAATATAGAGTCAATTGTCACAATGTCAACGTTGCAATAGCTTTTGTTGACCAAAAATAGACACTGTACAATAGCCTGCTGGTGAAAGGAAAAGAAATGTCCACATATTTTGTTTGAGAAATTCTCTCTCTCTATATATATATATATTCAACTGAAAGAAAAGTGGAAAGACAAAAAAATATGATATAGAATAGAGAAAGATGAAAAGATGGGTTGTAAAAGAATATTATAAAAATGTGAAAAAAATTATATGACACTTCTCTTTTAGAACATATTTCTTTAAGGTGAAGAAAATTTTAAGAAGAGAGGTGTAATCAAATTTAGTTGCGAAACTGGTTCGAATTCCTTAGACTTTTGTTTAAGAACTTTTTGACTTTGTCTTACCATTTATTCAGATGTGAAAGGAAAAAGAAGAACAAAAAAAAATAAAATCGAGATATGGAAAACACATGATAAGTTTCGTGATTCACCTGCGTCCAATTAACACTTAATTCTCACTTTCCATTGAATTTATGTCTCAGATGACAATCCAAATCTTTTAACGGAATGATAACGCATTAATTAATTAATTACATGCATTAGACAACTAGAAAAATGTCCCTCCAATATTGTCCAACTTTTTGCCGTCATTCTCTATTATTTTATGGACTTTGTTTTAGTCAATTAATCCTTTTATGATCTTGAAAGGGACTTGGTAACCACAAAAGTTAAAAGCATATATAAGGGAAGAAAGATTATATGACAAGGGAATAATGTTATCAACACAATCATGTTTCGCCAGCAAAAAATGTAGCAAATAGTAATATCACATCAAGTTAAGATTTTTCCTCTTTTTTTTTAGTCACAATCAGAAGTATCATTTCATTTTTATGGGAATTGACGAGAAATTATGTTTTTTTTTTCAAAAAAAAAAAAAATATATATTATATTACCTGAGGAACCGAGATGTAACAATCAACCAATCATGCAAACTCATTCATACAAATTTCATTAATAGTGTGTTTAGTGGAGTGAAAAGAAACAGTGATAGAAGAAAAGAAGAAAAATAAGGGAAAAATAGAACAAAAAATAAAGTTATTTGATTGAAAGGAAATAAAAGAGAGTAAAACTTAATTAATATTTTGAGTGATTGTTTAGTTTAAAAAAATCATAAATAAAAATTGTTATTGTTATTTATTATATTAATTCTTTAATTAGAAAATTATATATATATATATATATATATACCATATT